CTATATCATATATATCACCCGGAAGATCTTGTTGTCACTTAAAACTGTCATATAATTACAAAAATAAAGTCAATCATCATATTGTCATTAATGGTCCTAGACAAGCTAGTGGCTTCTAATATTTTTATAAATTTAATTGGATTTTTTTTAATTCAAAATAATCCCTACTTAAAAATGGCTAATATGTACCACGCCCCTCAGGTCTTCACAATTAATTAAAATTTAATTTGAATATAATTACCATAAATTGTATCAATATTTTATGTATGTCTTTATCATTTAGAATTAAATTAAGTCCAAACAACGTTTATAAAAGAAAATTTAAAATTTAAAAGTTACTTTATGTTAAAAATTAAATTTGTTTTTATAATTTTTTATGATCAATTTTGTTCGAAACATTTTTAGATCTACTTAAGCACCTTATTAAAATTGTGGCTTAAATTTCAAATCTTAAAGTTTATTAGTTTTTAAATTATCTGAGAAGGAAATACCTACCCCAGGAACACACTATCCCAGGTCTCCCCTACTTTGAGATATTGATTTAATAATTTTTCTTGTTCCGAATTCTTAAATCATTAAAATAATTTTCAAAACTAAACAGATAGTGATGTGTTTGATATGTTATATATTCACTTATTTTATTGTAAAGATCCTAATTCTCCAGGCGCGGTCTGGATTTAAAAAAAGTATTTTCAAGTCCGGTACTGCCCTTTTTTATAGCCGGTGCTGGCTTTTCAATAGTCACAATTATAACCTGGTTTTTTTATTAGGTGCCGTCTGGGGTTTTTAAAAATTATTTTAACCCTAGGGAAATTGGAAAATATTAATGCGAATGAATGTGAATTATTTTACTGATTTTTCGATTGATTAATTAATATAATTAAAAAATTTGGCCCGGTCAATTGTAATTACTAATCCCAACCCGGATTTTTAAAATTGTATCCTTTTATGGCCGGTTTCGAGCTAGGATGGATATCCGGGTTTTATACAGAGGTTACAGGTCTTTGAATATTTTTTTTATAGTTTAAGAGAAAAAAAACCCCAAAAGGATGTTTAGTTTGCTATGCGAGGAAAATAGGAAGTTTATATCTGAATGCGAATTCCTACTTCTTGTTGTTATTATTCAGAATTGTTAACGTTCCTTTTTAAAGGGGGTTAGCTTCCGCTCCTATCATCTTAAAAGGAGATAGCTCCCATTTCTTGCTATTGAGTTTATAAAAGGAGTGCTTCCACTGCTTTGATCTTAATTTTTATAATATAAAGTACACAAAACAATCATAATTTTTATTTATTTATATGTTTTAAATCAAGGAAAATGAGCGTCAAAAAAATTTATAATCATTTATACTTTTAATCAGGGGTAAATTTTCTAAATTTGGATCTAACAAGCAGCCAAGCCTCTCGCCTAGAACCTGTTTTAACAATACTAAGCAAGTGCTCAATGGGAGCACTATAGGGAAAAGGGGTATGGTATTTTATAAAAAAAAATTTTTAAATCATTATAATTAACAAATATATTTATTTCTACTGTATGATAAAAAAAAATTTATCTCGTTTATTATCATCTTGATAATCAATTTGATTGAATCCAAGAAAATCTTCTAAATCATTGGAGAGTATATTCGGTGTATAGGCATTTTTATGTTTGGAATTTGTTTTCTTATAAAATTAATTAATTTATATTTTAATTTCTCTATTTTTATCCCTGCTTATCCATTCCCAATTCAATTTGAATGTGGAATGGATAATAGCAGCAATGAACTTACCATTATAAACTGGCAACAATCTAAAGTTATTTAAAAAAATATAATTTTGGCAAAATCCTAAATCTGTAAAATCTTGCTCATTCGAAGTGAGTTTAGATTAAATCACCCCTCCTTATGCCATCACATAAATTATCAAGATCTTAGAGTTTTCGCGTAATATTTTACTTTAGGAATCATGGATTTATTGTATGAATTTCATCTTGAGGTATTTGGACATATCAAATATCTCGCCAATTTTTTAATTGCATTATCAGTCATATTTGGGGATATATTTTATATTTTCCATAAAGACGACACTTTTGAAATGAGCTTTGGGATACGATCTTAAATCTTACAGTTTCTAAAGCTTTCTCCCTGTCAACTATGCCCAATAAGTTAATATCGTGACAGACACAGAGTGAATGTTGTGTTAGAAAATCATAACTTTCTGCTCTGTTAATCAGTAATCGTTTGGAAAATCTTCATCCTTTTTCAGAATTTTTATGCCCAAACTTTCAATTTTTTAGAAGAGAAAAATAATTCTAGCAGGATAGAAATTTTATTTCACCCATTTCAATATTTTGTATATTAATAAAACTCGAAGGTTTTTATGTTTTTAATTTAAAGCTAAAAAAATGGAGAACAAAAAAAATAATAAAAACTAAGTTATACTTTAATATAAAATTAGAGGAGCGTCCTTTCCATCTTAAAAAGGAGCTAGCTTCCACTATCGCTCTCTAGTTTTGAAAAATATCGGAGCGTCAGATGCTTTCAAAAATGTAGCGGCTAATTTTTTTAAAAATTTACATTTTTTACCAGTACTAAATTTAGTTAAAAGCGTTTTCCCCGTAAATTCGCGCCAACTAAATCAGGTTTTACCACATATAATTAAAATAAATTTTATTTTCCAAATGTTCAATCTGAGGGAGGTTGTTGCATTTAAGATAATAAGTTTTATTATTTAGTTATATATATTTTTTGTATTATACCCCCCCCTCTTATTTATTGTCGATTTTATTTATCCATGGGGTTTAGACCTAAATTTGTTTATAGATACATAAAAACAATAGTTTATTTATTAAAAACAAAATGCAAAATTTGTTCTTGAATTCAAAAAATTTTTGTCTTTCTTTTATTACCTTTTTTAAAATATATTTTTGAATTTAAATAATTTTTTTCCTTGTATTTAAAAATAAATGCCTTTAAAATTTAAAAATATGACCCGAATAAAAGTACCCCGGACAAAAAGACTCCGTAGAAAAATATTTAAATCTTAATGATTTTTTTAGATGCTTAGAAAAATAGCAAAGTTTAAAAAAAATATCAACTTCTTCCAAACAAAAATATTCAACGAATGATATTGCGCAGCCACTGCTTTTTTTTAAACCTTTATAAAAAACCATGGACATATGTGGATTACTGGGGAGATGTTTCTAGCTACGTGGTTTATGGCTACGTCTGATATGGGCTAGATCTTATCTAAGCATTATGAGATATACTTTTTTATTAGAAAACCTACTTTATAATGAAAGCAGGACTGGCGCCAATACATAATTGGTTTGGTTCAAGATCAAAAATAGGAGCAAGAAAGATAAGGGTTAGGGTTTATAATGGAAGGAAAAATACTAATTTTATAGACACCAAACCCAATACATTCGGTAAAGCTAACAGATACTTAGAGCGGCGTATAATAAATTAATTTAAAAAAGTTATTAATTGAGATATTTCTTTAATGTCTTTTTGTCCGAGGATATGTTTGTCCAATATCTGTCTGTTCAGTGTATTTTAGTCCAAAACATTTATGTCCGGAATTCTTAAATATATGTATCTGCTTCCATTTTAGCAAGTCTTCCTAGCTCACTTATTTTTTCACCATCTATATTCTCGGTGTCTTAATTTTCAAACCTGAGGGATTTGGGGTCTAAAAAAAATCTTTAATTAACATATCAAGAATTTTTTTCGCCCTAATCTTTGAGATAAAAAAAATGAAATTTAAAAAAACTAAATAAAACAATGATATAACATTTCTACAAAAAAGATTTGAATTTGGGAGGAGAGGTTGGAGATCTTTTGAATTAACCTTTAACTCTAATTTGCTGCTAACTTCAAAAGTGGCTTCATAATTACCCACAGCCCAGCCTTCAATTTTGGAGATGGCGTCAATTCGATCCCATAAAAAATGAAGAGGCATGTTTTGACCCCTAAATATAAATTCAAAAAAAAATAAAATGATTTTCCATTTCTATGATTTTCTATTTCTATCGTCTTGTAAATATACAATTTTTATATATCTAAGCTCGGGAGAGAGGGTAAAAAAATATTATTTCTGTCGCAACTTGATCAAACAAAAATAAATTTTTTATTTTTCGCTTTAAAAATATAAATCTGTAAATATTTGTGTTCGAGTTGTTAATTTATCGCCTTGGAGTTTTATATATTTATCATTATACATTGCTAGCTTCCGCTTCCCCTCCCCTCCATTTTGTTTGATAGTCAATTTGTTTTATTTTCCACGTGGGGTTATTTTATTTTTTTTAAAAATAGATCTTAATGAATATTTAATATTATTTACTAACCCTAGCTTAAAATTTAAAATTACATTTAAAAAAAATTATAGTTATTATATTATTTATTCAACCAGGAGGGAGGAAGCGGGAAAATAAAATATAACATTTTTTATTGACTAATGATATATCTGGCTTGAGAAAATAATGATTTTTATAATTCTTTAATTTTTTAGGGTGTTTTAAAGGCTCCCAGGGTTGTAAGGTTAAGAGGATAAGTGTTAATACGCTTGAATCAAGTGTTCCTGCCAGGGCTCAATTTCAGTTGGGGATTTTTGATTTGCCAATTTGTTGGTGTGTAATTGGACATGAGCAAAAACTTGATGTTGGATAAGCGTGATTGAAAATTTGACATATATTTATTTTATAACGCTATAAATGCCTATTATCACTTTCCTATCTGCCTACCTGACCTCATTTAACATACTTGAAGCCGGTTTCTAAGAAGGGGAGAAAACTCATTTAATGAATTTGACGAAGTTATAAATTTTATAATTATAAGTTCTTTTTTCTCTTTTTTGTATCCGCTATTCGAAAAAATTAATCTCAATTTTAAATCCCCAAAAAAATTATCTTAGGCGTCAGCCATTTAGCCAATATATAAATCGATAATATAAAAATAAGTTCTTATCTTATTGAGATCCATTATTTCTCTAGATCATTTTTAATGATAATTTTTTATTTACAAAAGAAAACAACAGATATACCCAACTTTATCGAGAACAAATAGTTTATATTAATTAAATCGCCGCGACTCAAATCATTCCACTGGGACCAAAAAAAATTTATCTATTTATATTTTTCAAAATTATTTATGTCGAGATGATAATTTTTGCAGAATAAACTAGACGTATCCAAAAAAGGCTTTATAACAATCGTAAAGGTTCTTAGATCTCTATTCAACCTAATAACAATTAGTTAATTAATTTTATTATTATTATGATTAAAAAAATTTTAAAATAATAGTAACACATTGTTTTTTTATTCTTATGTCCTAAAATATATGGGATTACTTGATCCACGCTCAACTTTGCCCAAGGTTCGGACCACTTAAACAAATACTGCTCATAAACACTATTTTACCTTTACCTTGAATTTTGCTCACTTAGAAATTGATTCGTAAAAATATTCATCGATAAATCAATCAATAAGATTTTTTTTTCCAAGTTCGTTTTTTGACCAGAAATTTATTATACTCGCAATCGCCTAGTATTCTATTCCACGCCTCTACCACCTCAGTGATGAACCTTAACTAATTAGACAGATATTCGAGATTCTAAAAAAAGAAGGAAAGACTTCAAAATCTGTAATTTACTAACCGCCTGATCGTTTTTATCCGCAAACTAAATTATATATTCCGACTAAGTTTATTATGCGTTTTTCCTCCTTAGTTGCCCGCAAGGTTTATAGCAACAAATCATTCCTCGTCAAATGGGTCTTCCTGCTCGTGACGCTCTCCTTACTCGGCCATTTTTTCCTCTTCAAGGTAAACACAGGCGACCGCTACCTGCCTGATAGCGACGGCGGACCAAATGTATTTGTCGATCGGTCCGGTCGTCGACGACCCATTAAGCAGCGGGAAGAAGGCGGGAAAGAACCTCAACCCCCTCATGGAGACGACGGGTTCGGGGAAATCCCTGCATCAATCAAAACCGATCGTTATGAAAATAAAGATTTAGGTGGAATGCGACAAAATACAGCCTTTTTGGAACCTAACTTCGGAATAACCAAGGTAATTTATTTTTTTAAAAAAGGTCAATCTAGAAGTGAGGTGTAAAGGAGCGGTCAATAAAATTCGGCCCTAAAGTCCGGCTCAAGAGAAATGATTCATGACGAGGCAAGTTTGCAAATTTTATAAAGTTCCCTTTTTCCTTCATAAAAAATTATTGGGGACTGGGCAACTTATATAAAATTATTTTAGGGTTAGACCGGGCTAAAAAATCGATCAAGTTAGGACTTAGGCTTTCAACTTTTTATATAGCCACTCGTTTATTATGTATAATACTATAACCAATCTTATCTTAGTCTACATCAGCCCTTTACCATATACATGGTTTAATGGTTTTCTCCGTTCCGCCATTACTTACAGGGAGATTAATAATTGTCACGTGGGGGATTAAGTATTTTATAAAATTTGTGAAGGTTAATTATCATTTTGAAGTATCAATACGGAATATATCGGCTGGTACCTTGATAGGCCCATCTTTCGCTATTATCCGACCTAATAGCTGAATGTACGGAAGCTCCAAAACTTTGGTCGATTGATATACCTAATTATAGTAAAGATAAGAGCGTCATTTAAATTTCTATAGCATAATGAAAGACTTTTAAAGGGATATAATGTTTAATATTATTACTATATCTTAAATGTCAAAACCCCAAAATACAGGAAATGATCATAAAATCAAATCGCCATTTTTTTCTCTCAAATTTTTGTTATACAGCTATCAGAGACCTTCTTGGGCTTTGTTTTTTGATCAAACCTGCAGTAAAAAAAAATTGTAGGCGCATAATAACTTTCATAAATTTTACCCAAGCCCATATCCAAAATTTAATTTATTGTATTCAATGAAAATAAACAATATTTCGGCTTATTTAGGAAATCATTTTGTTTGCAATACTGAAATTTATTATTAGATGAAAAAAATTGCTATATTTTTTTTAAAGTTAGCAACTATATTAAATAAGCCAAATTCAAATGAAATTTTCTTAGGCCCAAGCCCATCCGGCCGCCCTTGAAGGTCTCTGATACCTATAAGATTAATTAATAAATATGCAAATTTTCTTGGGCTAAGCACACGTTTAAGAGATATCGCATTTTAATCAGGGTAGGGAAAATTTTCAGAAAATTGTATTTGGATACAGATACTTTATAAAATTAAGATACAGGATACTAGATACTTTGGAAAAATTTCAATTAAATACAATATACTTGTATCTTTTAAAAAAAGGTATCTAAGATACAAGATACTTTTAAAAAAACTTTAAATTGTCAAAATCAAAATGTATCAAGCTCTATTTTTTTTAACTATAATATAAATTTATAAAAAATATGAAAATAACAAATTTGTTATATATGATAATGCGATATAAAGATATATTTTTTAAAATTATATATTATAATAATGAAAACAATATCTGAACAAATAATTAATTAGTAAATATCAATAAATCAGCATAAGTCTTTGACGATTTGGTCTATTCACCATATTAGCAAAGCTGAATAATCGATCAAGGGGGGCAGAGGATGGTAATATTGTGTTAAATTTAATAAATATTTCTTTTATATATTTATAACTATTTAACATATTTATATTGCACCTGTCATCTTTCATATAATTTAATCCTCTAATTCATTATCATTTATTGAATTATTTTTGGATGTGGTACTTTTAAAATAAAAGTAATCATCATCTTCATCAATTGAAGATTTTGTTGACATATTATTTTCAATATTATTTTTAAAAATAATTAAAGATTCATATTTTAATAATTCCTGAAGATATTTTTATTCACCATCAATCCAACGATTTTTACAGTAGGGATGAGAAATAGTGGCCAAAAATGCTTTTTTAAAGTTATAAGATTCAAATATATTTTAAAATATTTTATTTAAAGAATTTTCTACTGCAATAGATAATGGTTTGCAAAAATGTAGATCAGTTTGAATTAAATTTGTAATTTTTTTTAACGACATTTAATATTGGAGCTGATTCTCCATAATAGCAGTAATTTCACTTTGTATTTTGTCAATCGCTATACCCAATGGGGACATTATATGACAATATTCTTCTAAATGTTACATTTCAATATCTCTTAGTCGGATTAAATTTTTCATTTAAATTTTAAAATAATATCATTTTAAATATTAATACTATTTAAATTAACTAATATAATTTTTTTTAAAGTATCTGTATCTTTTTGAATACAAAGTTGATTAAGATACAGATACTTTTAAATAATTTGTATCTTCAATACAAGATGTAGATAAAAATATCCACGATACTGCCCACCCTATTTTAATCATTGATCAATTGTAAAGATTATTAATAAATATTTGATAATCAATAATTGTAATATATAATTCAAAAGCTATCAAATATTTTATGTTATTTCTCTCCTCACAAAAATGACTACAAAAAATACAAATCAATTTTTTATGATTTAATTTTATTATTGAATAATTTTCACAGTATGAATCTAATTTCTTAAATTTAATCTAAGAGGTATAAAAGTATGGATCATTACACCATTATGTTCCGAAAATGGGTTTTACCTTTTAAAACCTAGTTTCAATATATTTTCCCATTTTTTCATATAATCTTTTACATGTGCATAACTATTTACAGTGATATTTGTTTTATAAAAATTAAATAAATCTAAGGTGTTTATTTATCGCAATTACTTTTGGCATGAGCCGTTTAGAAGAAATTTCATTCCGCCTTGAATCCCTAATGCATTTTGCCTTAAATTATTAATTTTTATAATGTGTTACTGCACGTTAGAAAAATAAAATGATTTATTCAAGTTTTTTTATTTAAAAAAACAAATAATTTTAGTTTGTAATAGATAAACTGCATTATGGCTTTTGTTTTATACATGATGACACTATCACATCGTATCAGGTCAATTCAGCGAAACTTTTATCGCGAATGTCGTATATCGCGAAAAGTTTTTATAGCGAAGGTAATATCGCCAAACCAATTCTTTTCCGCGAAACATTTATAGCGTAGACAATTTCGCGAAGCCAATGTCGCGAATTTATTTCTGCGAAACCTTAACCGCGAATTTACTAGAGATATACATTTTAGCAAAACATTTTACGCGAACACTTTACAGCGAATTTTTTATCGCGAATATGTTGCGCGAAATCATTATCGCGAGCCAATTACCGCGAAATAATAAATATATTGTGAATGCATTTATTTAAAGGAAAACAACATATTATTTATTATTTGATGTTTTTTTAATAAAAAATCATATGCTACTATTGTAATATTATTTTTGTTAAAATTTATTAGTGATTTTCACGCCTAAAATTTTAAGTAAAAAATATTTCTTGAAGTTCAAAAAGATTTTGAACATATTTTGATAAAAATTCCTTAGATTGACAATTGTCATGATGTTTATTTTTAAAATTTTTTGTATTTATTTAACGCAAATGGGTAAAAATATAGATTGTAAACATGTTAAATTAAAATTTCATGAAGATGTACATTAAGGTCTACCGTTAAGCTATATAAATAAATTTAATTGACGCTCGAAAGATATTTAAAATTAAAGGGAGAGTATTTTGCCCAAAATGCCCCATATTTTCGACCTTTAGAGGCCCATATCTCAGCCGCTGTTTGGAATTGGGGGCTAAAATATTATTTTTTTCTTAATTATAATATATACAAATTCTTATAAAAATTTTAGAAAAATCTGAGGGGGTCAGGTTGTGATTTATCATGGTATTCACCATATATATGTCGTCTCAAAAAACAATCCTAGTTTTTATAATATTTGGATTGGATAAAACGCCCTCTTTCTTTTTTCTAGTAAAATATTTATTCGCTTTTGATTAATTATATATTACAATTATTGATTATTATTAAATTTTTATTATGATTTTTTATACGTATACTTGACCAAACTTGAAAATTTGCCGATGGTTATATGAGTATTTCTGGTTTATATATTAAACATTATATCATTTTGTAGGCCTACCATTAAGCCATATAAAGAAATTTAAATAATGCATAGCTAGACCAATTATATCCAAAGAAATCTAAAATTTAGATGAGTGCATTAGGTCCAAAATGTCTCATTTTTTTGCCTTTAGGGGCCAATATTTCAGCCGCTGTTTGAAGAAGCCAAACTCTAATACACAAAAATATATTTATAGATGTGAATATTTTAAAAAAAACATAATATTAGGTTCCGTACAGGTTCGATTGGCATGATTATTCTGCCATCAAGATAGACTCTCTTAGAACGGGTATTTTTATCATTTAATCACTTATAATTAGAGATGGGAAAAACTTTACTTAATACGTCTTTTTCTATTATTTTTTTTGCACGAGTAACTTAAAGTAAAGTTTTTTTCGTTACTTTATAAAATTTAGCCATTTCCCAATATCCTTTTATTAATATTTTACCATCTGAGAATAAAATATATTATAATAAACTTGTCCCCCAATTACCTACAAATTCTGAAAATAGATTTAAAATGAGACCTCTTCGAAAGGTACTTACTCTAAAATAAAGGAAGCAGATAAAAAATAAGTTTTCTTATCCCTAAATTTCCAAATGCCTTCATTATATCAATATTCCAACCAATAAGTCATTATTATATTGGAATTTATTTTAAAACTATACTCGCAATTAAACTATAATTGTTGTTTTTTTCAGGTAACGTTAATATAAGCGTTACATTTTATTTTTAAGCAACAATAACTTTAGTAGTTATAGTTTTTTTTAAACTAACATTCCTGACCTTACTCTTCCCCCCTTCCCCCCCCCCCCAAAAAAAAAGATTTGTAGCAGATGATTAAAAATAATGACAACAAATTTGAGGCCAGCTTATCATTTTTTCCGAATTTTTTTTTTTGCATTTCACAATTAAATACATATCACCTGATTATAATGCCATTATGATACAAGTCATGCAATTTAAATATAAAAAAAAATTGAAATTTGCTTTAAATATGGTATTTAATAATAATTTAAATGTATATGTTCCATAATAATATAATACAAAATCAAAATATCAAGTAATATTGTCTTGCCTATTCTTTGGCGCTATACTTTACAACCGATTTTGATTAGATGTCGGTAGCGATCCTGTAATCAGCCATTTTTTAATTTACGGAAAACCGTTATGAGCAGCGAATTTATGTTAAATGATTCATTATACGATCTTCCAACTTAGTTAAGTATATAGAATTTAAAATTATTCTCAAAAAATCTGGTCCGATCCGGGTTTTTTTTAAAAAAGAAGATAATCGGGGCCAGGTCTGGATTTTTAAAAATAATTCCATTTTATGGTCCGGTCCTTATTTCGGGCTTGTAAATCTTTGTTATCAATTAAGGAAATTTTAATTTAGAAAATAAGCACTATATCTGTGTCCCCTGGTTCGTCTTATTTTTGAAACTTATCTTTGTTTTAGACCAGTCTTATTAAATTTAAACTAGGCACCCTATTCTGTTTTGTTTTAAGTTACGTATTAAATCTAAATAGCCTCTTTTAGAATATATATTCTGTTTAGAGGAAGCTACATAGACGGCTGAGGACACAGTCTATATATTTCTATTGTATGAAACAAATTATTTATATTCATATCAAAAATGAGGAGTATAAGAGATTATTTTTAAAACTTAAGTTGTTTCTTCCATGCAAGTTAATAAATCTGTAAGCAAAAATATGCCCATTAAAAAAGACATCGAATAGATTGCTTTCGGGTCGCAATATAGGGTAAATAAAAGTAATATATTAATAATAATATATAGTAGGGCTGTGCCGATATTAAATATCGGATCGGATCGGTCCTGATATTTGGCGTTTTTCAAAAATATCGGATCGGCCCGATACCTGTAAAAAACCCGATCCGATCCTTTTACTAAAAATGCAATTCTTATAAAACTTTTGAGTAATGAAACTTTGAATTATTATTTTTTAATAAAAAAAAATTTTTTTAAAATATTTTAAAAAAAAATAAATTTTTTCGAGTTTCTATTTTGGGTAAATTCTCTCTTTATTTCAATAGTTGCTGATAATGTTAAAAGTTTATAGTAAATAATAAATTTTTTTATATGGTAAAATTAATAAAGGTAAAAAAAATATAAAAATATAATTTGCGAAAGAGGGTAAGGGATAAAAGAATGGAAACTAGGAAAGAGAAGGGAGAGAGAGAGCATAGACATAGGAGATTATTCAATGGAAGAGATGAAACTTAGGTAGTTAGAGCGAATGATGGCGGTAGCAAGTCTTTGTCGTAAGAAAAGGGACTCTTTAGGCTGATCGGTTTTTTCCCGAATCCGTTTGCCTAATTCTTTAAAAAAACTTAGAGCTTTGCTACCGAAGGTGGTAAGAGTAGAGCAGGCGATAGGTATGAATAAGAAAGAGGGGTCTATGGAACTATATTTGATAGTTTTACGAGTTTCTGCTAGAGCGAGGGCATCGACGTTGTGGTTGGATGGTGCATTTGGGTCTATGCAGGTGAAGTCCCAGACTAGTAGCTGGCCCCTTGACCAAGGAATCTAGGACATTCCATCAGGACGTTTTCCGTCGGATCTAAAAATGCCGGTCGGTTCAAGTCTTGATGGAATGCCTGCGGATTTGAGAGCGCGCAATATGATGTCATTGCAATTGGTGTGCCGTGGAAAACGGCCTCGGCAAAAGCGGCAATGGAGGCAATGTCTGCCCTTGCGATCGACGCTGGTTTCGCAGTGTTTGCATTGGTATGGTAGAATAATTTCGCAATTGAGCCGTAATCCAATGGCAAATCTTAGCTCGTCAGCGGTCAGCAATAAGTCGAGGTTGTTGGAGGGTATAGTTTCCAAAAACTCGTAACCCGATCCTTGGTTTAATTGGTGAAAGACTGTGAGATCGTCGTCATGAAGGCTCGATTTTAGGTAAGCGACGGAGCCTTCATTGAGTGGAGTATCCCAGTCTCTCTGTAAACAGGAGGAGGGTCGAGGAGTGTTTGGGACAACGGAATTGTCCCAAATGGTCTGGGCTTCAGCTAATAATGGGTCAGGAAAGTGAGAAAGCTGGCTAATGTGTGAGTCAGATGAGAGGCGGGAGGCGATGAATCCACTGATGGAAAGAGTTAAAGGTGAGCGTAAGCCGATGCCCCCGAGCTTGCATGGAAGTGATGCTTGTAGCCATGAATTATGGTTGAAGCGAAGATTAAGGATCTCTTCGGCAAGAGATTTGACGGAAGTTTCAAATGATTTTAGTGAGTCGGGAAATTTAAAGATTGAGGTGGATCGAAGAGCGTAAAGAATTTTAGGAATGTAGTAAAAGTTTTTGAGGAGAAAAAAAGCTTGATGGCGAGGGAGAAATTTAGAGATGTTTTTGAAATGAAGTAAGCTAGATGACGCGTTAGAGAAGAAGTGATTAATGGATTGCAAGCCACCGACAGGTGAGCCGAGATGAGTGAGGGATGATAGCTCGGTTGTAAGGAAGTTATGGGTGAATGGGATGGAACAATGAAGTGGACAGATCTCTGTTTTTTGTTCGTTAAGTGAAAGTCCAATTGCGGCGGAATGTGTATTAATGATGGCGAGGGCCTTGGCGACCTCGTGAGGGGAGCCGCAGAACATTCCGTCGTCGATGTACCAAGTGTGGAGTGGAAGATTGCAGTTGGTAGAAATGTTTTTGACCATTTCGTTGATTCCAATGCAGAAAAGTATCGAGCCTAGAGGATCGCCTTGCTGGATCCCTTCAGATGATGAAAGTAAGTAGTTGTTGAATTGGAGATGAGATGGCTTGGAATAGCATGAGTGGAAAAATTGGGAGAAGGTGGGAAATGAGTGGTATATTTGTGGAAGAAAGTGGGAACGGCGAATGGAGTTGAAGGCGTTAGAAAAATCAATTTTGACGAGGATTTCGTCGCTAGGGTTGGTTTGGAGATGGATGCGAGTAGCGTGTGTGGCTATTTCGCAACCTCCCTGGATGCCAATACCGAGTTGATGGGGTGCTAAAATTAAGGCTGCGTTGTCCTTAATTTTGGAAGCTATGAGTTTAGCAACGAGGCGACGGAATACGGTCCCGATTGCTATCGGCCGGATGTCTTTGTTCGGCTTTTCGAGTGCGATTAATTTAGCGCCGAACAGGAGTGGCCTGATGGATTCGGGAACAGGTCCATGTGCAATTTTGTTGCAGAATGTTGTTAGATTCTGTAAAATAGGGACCTGGCTGACTATGAGGGGGGATGTAAGGTCCTGGAGGAAGATGGGGCGAAGCCCATCATACCCGGGCGAGGAGTCATGATGAAAGGATAGGATACTTTTGCGCACCTCGACGGGGGTGAAATTAGTGGGAAATATGTTGGGCGGAGGAGGAGGTATGAGGTCACCTCCAGGAGGGTGCTTAAGTTTAAGTTTGTTGTAGCTCTCCTCATTACTGGTTGCAATTGAGTCGTCACATGCTAGTAAGCGGAGAGCAGATTTGATGTTTAGATTGTTTATTTTGTTAGAAATTATCTTAGCCTTTAATTGGAGGCTGGAAAGTTTTTTAGAATTATGAGGAGAAAAAGTGGATGTGAGGGTGAGGGGGTGTATGGTTGCGTCTTTAATTTGTTGGGTTAAAGATTTGTGAATCTCAGGATTGGGAGGTTGGAGAGTCGTGAAAGAAAATGAAAAAAGTTTGAGCCAATGATCTAGAGAGGAAAAGTTATTTAATAGTGAATGAAGACAGGTAGAGAGAGCTTTGGCTACTTGTATTCTAGAGCCTTTGGGAATTCTAGAAATAATGGGAGGTTTGTCGGATTTTAGAAAGTTAATGATGTCGACGTGAGTGGTAGGTGAAAGGGAAATGAATGTGTCTGATGTGGTTGGTATGTGGGCGTTATTGGATGAGGTGGAAGTATAACTGTGAGTAGAAAAAATGGAGAGGGGATTTTGGAAGGGAGGGGAAGGACGCTTTCCAGACTCAGGACAAGCACTGCCTTTGGATTTGTGCTTGGTGAAAAGGCCGGATTTGGTGATTTTTATGTTTTTGGAACACGTGGGGCAGCGTTCCATTGTGTGGATAAAGAAAGGTTGTGAATAATTGTGTTGAGAATGGGGATGTGACAGGGACTAGGAAGAAATAATCTGCAGAGAATAATGATGTTGTAAAGATAAGGTTATTAAATATGAGAGGAAAGAATGGGCATAAAGGTTGTTGGGGTTGGTTGGTGTTTGATAGAGGTTGGTTATTTGTTTAATAAATGTAATGGTTTTTTACATTAATAATATTTTATAAATAATTTTTTTTTAAACAATGCAAAT